TTCCTCTCCTGCACTGTCCCTCCACCTTTCCAAGCATGAAGTCCTTCTCCGAGGACTGGTCCCTCCTCGCCACGTGCCCAAAGTATGTGAGACGGAAATCCTAGCCTCCAAGGAGAAACTTGGTTTTACCCTCTCCAAGACAACCTATTTCTACTAACAATGCTTTCCCTTTAACCACTACATTGCTCAAATATGTGATTTCTATTCTGAAATGAGGAGTATAATGCTAAATCCGAATAAATATATGCCCCCTTTTTGAAAAGACAAGGTGCCTTCATGGTTTAGTTCATATTGTGTTGAGCTGTTAAGGAAAAGGTTGTACATCTGTGACAGTTTGAATTCACCATCTACTCCATGGAAGACATATATTTCTCCTTCCATTAAGATTTATAGCCTCGGAAATGTGTAGAGAGGGCTCCTGTGAGTCAGAATCAATTCAATGGCAGGGAATTTGGAGTTTATAAAAGGCTAGGCTAGGCTTTGTTGTAGTAACTAAAAAAAAAATCCCAAACATGAATACCCCAAAGGGAAAAAGGATTCTTCCCTTCTTAAACTATATAATCACTATAGGTTCACTGGAGATATCTAAGAAATAGTCCAAAGGAGTAGTCACTGCTCGGAACCTTGCTAGTCTCCATGCAGCAGGGAAAGAAAGCCAGCCAAACAGCAAATCACATACCAGTTCTTAGAGCTTCCCCTAAAAGAGACACCAGTTCTCTTTCTTGGTCAAAGAGTATATAGGGCAGTATGATAGTCCCACGTGTCTAAGTGGAGAATAAAAAATATTCAGTGAACAGCATACATAACAAATGTTACCTTATACTTTACAGGTGAAATAATGGGCTTATAGTGAGATTATGTCACATGTGGTGTCATTAAGCAGAGTGATATCACAAAAAAGATAATACCAAACAAGTCTGTTTTGAACCTTAATGGGAACAGATAGCTTCATCTTTCTTCTGCAGAGCTACTGGTGGATTCAAACCAATGACTTTTCAATTAGCAGCCCAACAAGGAATGTACTATGCCATTCGGGCTCAGTCAATATTAAAACTGAATTTTGGATTTACTGCCCAGTATTTTCTACCAATAATAAATCAAGAACTGGTTTTCTATTGCAAATAGGTTGTACTTAAATATTAACAGTTTACTTCAATAATAGAAGTGCTTGTAGTGATAATACAAGCAGCCTTGATGGTGCAAAATTTAAGCATTCAGTTACTAAGCAGGAGATAAATAGTTTTGAACCTACTAATAGATGCAGGGAGAAAAGATTTAGCTATCTGCTGGTATAGAAACTGTAGTCTAAGAAATGTTGTGTGACTAGTTCTACCCAGTCCTCTAAGATCACTAAGAGTTAGAACTGACGCATAGTAACAGGTTTTATGGGTTGTTACTGGTAGCGTTAGGTGCTTTCGAGCCAAATACGACTCCAAGCAACTCATAACAGATTTGAACCCTGTCTTGCTCTGCACCATCCTCGTCATCTCAGACATGCTTGAGCTCATTACTGCAGTCACAGTGTCAATCCATTTAATTAAGGGGCTTCCTCTTTTTCGCTGACCCTCCATCCTTCCAAGCATGATGCCCTTTTCCAAGGCATAGCCCCTCCTAACAACATGCCCAAAGTATGTTAAGCAAAGCTCTAGTGGCATCCCTATGTCTGCGGTTCTTACTACATGAATTCTCAGTGGTACTATGTCTCAATAGGACTGTATCTCAATGTCTGCAACTAACCAGGTAAATGTTTCATAATTTAATCTAGTAGATGGAGTCTGGTAGTGCAACAGTTAAGCACTTAGATACCGTGGACCTCCAGGAGAACAAATAGGTCTGGCTTGGAGAGGGTGAAACCAAGTTTCTCCTTGGAGGTAAGGGTTGTGAAGCTCCAGCTCACATACTTTGGGCACGTGGCCAGGAGGGACCAGTCCTTAAAGACATCATGCTTGGAAGGGTAAAAGGATAGTTCTGGAGAGGAAGACCCCAGATGAGATGGATTGACACAGTAACTGGGGCAGCAGGGTTAGGTGTGTCAGAGTCAATGAGACTGGCTCAGGACAGGGCAGGGTTCAGAGCTACTGTACATGGGTGGCTAACAGTCGTAGACAATTTGATGGCACATAACACCAACTAAGAAAAGCTGGTAATTTGAAACCCCTCAGAAACTCTGCAGAAGTAAGACTCGACAATCTACTCCTGTAAGCATTACAGCAGTCTGCTTTGGCACCTGAGGTCACTATGAGTAGAAATACATTTCATAGTACCCAACAACAACATAAATATTCACATACAAAACTAGTTGCCTTTTAGTCAACACTAACTCATGGCTACTGCAATGTGTGAAAGTAAAACTGTGCTCCAACCATGTTTTCAATGGTTGATTTTTGGAAGTAGATAAGTCTCTTGTGAGGTATCTCACAGTGGACTTGAACTGCCAACTTTTAGGTTAGCCAAGAAGCAATTTAACTACCAAGAGAGATGTGGCTTAGTGGCAAGAAGCTGCCTTGCAATCCTGAAGGCACACAGTTCAAGCCCACCAGCTGCGGGAGAAAGATGGGCAATCTCCTCCCATGCAATCAACTGTGTCTAAAAACCAACTAGAGGTTCAGCTACAGGCTGCTTCTGACTCAGTGGCACACAACAATGCTAGATGACAACTGAGCCACTTTAAAAAAATTAGGTGCTCATTTTATATTTTAGAAGTGAATATATGCCTTCAATAGTATTTTATAAATGTCATTGGAAGATGGTATTTTTAAAATGTCTACACATTTTATGAAATAAAAGACAGTCATTATATCAACCTATATTTAGATGTTCATGTTAGTTTTCTTCCACTCCAAAAAAAGGTGATTCAGCGTAATATGGAAATTATAAAATAATATCATTAATATCACATGCAAACAAAAAATATCACTGGAGATCATGAGAAAAAAAAGGTTGGAACAGTACATTGAGAGGGAACTGTCAAAAGCTCAAGCTGGGTTTAGAAGAAGCCTTGGCACCAGGGATAATAGTGCTGACAGCAGAGAATATCAGAAGAATATCTGTGTTTTAATGACTATGCAAAGGCAAATGACTGTGTGGCTCACATAATGTGCCAAGATGCCTGGAGGACACCTACCTGGACAACTGACTGGAAGAGATTCATACTTATCCTTATAAAAAAAAAAACAAACAAAAAAAACCAAAACACACAAAAAAACATGATCCAATAGAATGTGGAGATTATAGAACTATTGTTCTATTAGTGTGTTCTTCTTATTATTCTATTAGTGTACTGTTCTATTAGTGTTCTCACTAATATCACACACAAGCAAAATCCTTGTGAAGATTCTGCAGAAATGAGTGGAACAGCACATTAACAGAAAACTACCAGAAATACAAGCTGGCTTTAGAAAAGGCCAGAGTCATGCTCTGAAGCTTCATCTTTCATACTTTGAACAAGTTGCTAGGTGGGGCTATTCCTTGGAAAGGGATATCATGCTTAGAAAGGTGCAGGGTCAGTGAAAGAGAGGAAGATCCTCAACGAGATGCCTTCCACAGTGACTGTAGCAATGGGTTCAGGTGTGTCTGAGAGGATAAGGATGGCACAGGATAGGACAGGATTCAGGTTTTCTGTTCTCAGTCACTGTAAACTTGTTCTCGATTTGATGGCACTTAACAGCAACAACATAGTGAGTGAACAATAGTCATTTATCTTTTAAGATAATTATACTAATTACAGTGAGTTACACATAGTGAGCAGAACAATAATTTTTATTTCCTTTTCTTCGTTTACAAATGCTGCTTAACCAGAGTTAAGCAAGGTTCAGACTGGATTGTACAAGCCAAACTTTGGAGGTCCCTTCCAATAGAAGAGACTCTGTTTTCCTTCTTAGGGTCTCTGTTTTCTTTAACAAGGACGTACAAAACACTCACCTCATTCCCAGAGCTTCTGAGAATTCCTCTCTTGAGAGATCTCAGCAAATGAGAGGAAAAACAACTTTTAAAAAAATTCCTGAAACACTAGCTGTTACTTGCTTTCTCCCTTCCCAACCTTGTCCTCTAAAAATGTACTCTTCCTTTCTCAGCTGCAAACACTTTCCTTCCTCTCTTTTCCCAAGGTGATCTGTTCGTCTGTGAGAAGGGTGCAGAGAAAATGCACAGAAATCAAACCCAGTCACAGGATTTCTTTCCTAATTGTAGTGAGGACAGCACCTGCTTGGGGAGCGTGAGAAACCAAAAGGGCACTCCCTCTGCGGTGGTGCCTGCTGCCAGACCACTTCCAAAGGAGAATCCGCGATTTTCTCAGGAATGTGGATTGATCAGGGTTTCGCAAATATGTTTTTAGTAAATAATCCTTGCATGTCTTCCTCTGTTTAAAGGCAGACTCACTGCTTTGAGTGCACCAGTGATCATTAACTATAACTCTCTACCCACTCTTAGGATTCAAATGCAAATTCGCATAGCCCCACATCAAATTCGTGGAGGTCACAGTTGAGTAATTGCAGCTGAAAACCACACACAAGCCTAGAGTCTGCCTTCCAGGCAGCAAGAGCACAACAGTGTCCTGAGTGCACCTATATATACCCACAGGCACAAGAAACTCATAAACTACAGGTTACACTGCGCTCTTCCCTTCCTCCTTTGCCTCACCTCGTTGACTTTCCTTCTCTCCCAACCCCCAGCCCGCACCTACACAATGGGATTTTTGTTTGCTTCAGTAACATGTGATAGTGCAGTCCCTGCTTTGCTTAGCTCCATGCTGCAGGTCTCTCAGGTAACAGGTGGCAACTTCCCCTGTTGGATTCTAGGTATAAAAAACCCGAATGACCTCATAGGGGTGGAGCTATGGAACTCCACAGAGGTAGCAGTCACAGCCAGGTAACCCTGGAGTGAAGCTGTTTAGTTAGAAGGGGGCAGTTCAACTCGTCCCTCCAGTGACTCTAAGGACACTCGGAAGCACTTCAGCCACCAGCCATTGCCTGGAAGCCTCTGTCGCTTTCCTTTTACCTCAGATGGAGCCCAAAGAAGCCACTGGGAAGGAAACCATGGGTTCCAAGAGAAAGAATCTGACCTTTTTGAGGCCCAGACTCTATATGCTGGAGCGAAGGAAGACTGATACTGTGGTTGAGAACAATATTTCTGGGGACCACTCTGGCACCTTGAGGAGGAGCCAGTCTGACAGGACGGAATACAACCAGAAATTGCAAGGTAATCAGAAAGCAATCAATTGTCCCAGGTTCCTGCACCCCCAGCTCTGTTTCTACTCCTTTTCCATTTGCAAACCACAGCACTTTAAGGCAGAAAACAAACTGTAACTCTACCTCTCTTCAACATAAAATTAAGAAAGCATATGCGATTAATTAATTACAGGGAAAACATTTTTTGATTACTTGGTTAAATAATGAAAAGGACAACTCCAAATTATTCTTCATATTGCTACTTTTCTGGGGTGAGGGTATTATTTTTTCCTCTACTATCTTCCTCTTACCTTCCCCACCCCCATACTCACCTTAAAAAGTTGGAAGCCCTGGAAAGCAAATTATTTAGAAACCTAAGGCAAGACAGTAGATACGTGTGAGAAGTCACCACGGGAGATCTAGCTAGGTAATTATGAAAACTGGTGATCCTATGTTGGGCCAATCAGGTCAGGTAAAAAAAAATGAGAAATGTTCCCATTAGCCCTACGGTATAAAAGGATTTGTTGACCATCACCTAGAAGGTCATTCCTTTAAAGTGAATCTAAGGTAAGAGCTGTTTAGCCTTCGTAGGCTGAATGAATTGAGAAAACAACTTCATTATACTTTGTGATGGTCCCTCTGCATAATTACTGTTACACTTCCTCCATTTCAGACCTTGAATTTCTCTTCACATCTAACCTTGCCTCCCATACCCTCACTCTTTCTTCTTCCTAAAGGTGGTTTGTTTTAGTGATGCTTCCTTTTGATGTTGACATTGTGCCGTATTTTATGTATCTCGCTATTGGATCCCCTGTAAACTGTCTCCTGTGTTTTATACAGCGTGTGTTTGAACTCTGAGAAACCTACCTCAAGCTGTCATTTTAGCTAAGGTTACAAAGACCTATGGATATGCTTTCAATGATCAGAACTCTTTTCTCAAAAATGTGCTTGGATTTAGTTGCAAAACGGAATCAAATTATTTAATGAAAGTAATTAAAATGAAATCCTAAAAAACAAACAAACACAAAACCCTTCTATAAATCAATGCTTTTTAACTAATACCTCGTGATTCAGCTTTAGTTAAAGTCTATAAACCAAAACCAGACTTCGTTTTTTGTAAGTTGATTCTTACACATGTTGAAACTCCGTTGGGCTTGAGACTGTAAATGTTGATAAAGGAGTTGTGGGGGCCTGGTCTGAAGGGAGTTCCACTGCTAAGCCAAAGGCTGCATTGCCTCTAGCCACCTAAATGACCAGTTGTTCCAGATGAGAAAGATATGCGGTCCCCTCCCACTTGATTTACAGCTGTGGAAGCCCGCTGGAGGTTCAGCTATGAATGAGTCAGTTTCCTCTCAAAGACAGTAATGAGTTTGTTTGCAATCTTGATGAAAACAGACTGCTTCTTTTTCCTTCTTTGAGCAACTGGTTAATTTGAATTACCAATCTTTTGGTTATCAGCCCAACAAATAGTCCATTATGGCTCCTTTCATTAATGTATACTCATACCTTATTGTGACTATAAATTACTACTAATTCTTTTAAAAGGATATGAGGTGAGCACAATGGTGTTTAATGTTTAAAATTAGTTTATCTTCTCAAAACAGTGGATACATTAGAAAGAATGAAGATTTTAAAGTAATTTTAAACTTGTTTCTAATTTTACCTCTTGAAGTTGCTGCTTATGAAATTTGAGCAAATTAAAAATTTTGAGTCTTAGTTTCTCTGTAAGAATGGGATAATGATACCGAAAGGTATTTTTGAAAGAATGAAATTAAATATTTACACAAAACATCTAGTGGATTAGTTGACACGTCGTATATATTTAATAAATAGTATCTATTTGCCTTATGGGTTGGGTTGCTAACCAAATGGTCAGTGGTTCAAATCACAAGCTAGTTTCCTCTTGCAAAGATTTAAAGCCTATGGACAGAAACGCTATGGACAGGTTATAAGAGAACTGGCTCATCAGTGGGGTGGTAGCAGAGGGTCAGGATGGGAAGGTGGTGTTTTCATTATGCACTTAGCAGTTACTGAGTGGTGTTCAACTGTCTAAGTGCTCAGCTGTTAATTCAGATTCACTTAGTGGAACCCTAGAAGAATGGTCTATCAGTCTGCTTCCAAATAATGAGTCATGAAAACTCTCTGAAGCACAGAATTCTTCTATTCTGTAACAACAGGCATCACCATGAGTCAGAATAAACTCAGAGGGCAAGAGTGTGTGTGTGTGTGTGTGTGTGTGTGTGTGTGTGTTTGTGTGTGTGTGGTTAAAGTGCTTGACTGCTAACCAAAAAGTTAAAGGTTTGAGTCTACCAGAGGTGCCTCAGAAGAAAGGCCTGGCAATCAACTTCTCAAAAGCTGGGCATTGACAACTCTGGAACATGGTTCTACTCAGAAATGTGAAGGTTCACCATGAGTCTGAGTTAACAGCAATTGTGTTGTGTTTCTTGGCTTTTGGGTTTTTATTATTTTTTCAAAGAATGATGGATGCCATAATGATAGAATATAACTTGCTTTCTAGTAATCCAAATTTACAATTCTTACTAATATTACTAAATTCTTTTCTATTTGGTGGAGCGACCACAAATAGAAATTCAGAAAGAACTTACTGCTTTACCCCTAAAGATGCTGATTCTTAGTTTCACTAATTCCGCATCTTTTTGGCTTGGATTTTCTGTCAGTCAAAGAGAAACCTGAAAGAATTGGTGCTAACTAGAATTTGAAATACAGGTTTTAAAATTTTTAATAGTAAAATCAGAAAATGATTTGTGCTAATAATACCTTGAAATCAGAAATTGAATCTATGGCCATAAAATGCAGATGGTTGGTTTGCAGGACCCCTAAGTTTTTTAAGTATATAATTTGAATTTTCCTGAGCTTTGTTGGATTTTGCCTTTGAAGGCAGAAGGAAAGCTTAATGTTTCTGGAAGTAGTTGTGCTTATGAAAATCACCTGGGAAACTATATAGAGAAGCATACTAAAGCTGTAAAGCTAGGTTGCCCTCCCAATAAATAATATTTGTTGGGTTTCTTTGCATTTTCTTAACTTTTGATAATTAAAACCTGTTATCTAAAGTCTGCTTGACTTTGTAGCACTATTTTACTATAAAAATGTTGTTAGGTGTTCTCAAGCCAACTACTAGTCATAAAAACCCTTAAGAAAAACAGATCAGGCCCTTTGCCCTAGCCTATGCCATCATCATGTTCTCTGCCATGTTTGAGTGACTGTGTGAACCTTTCTCCTTAAGCATTTTCCTCTTTCTCATGGCCCTCTACCTTTCCAAATATGTTGTCTTTTTAACAACTGGCTTCTTATGACAACATATTTAATGTTATCTGAGATGATGTTTCACCATTCTTGTCTCTGGCTACACTTTCTCCAATATTTATTTTTTCTTTTGGAAGTCTATGGAATATTCAGTACTCTTAATTCAAAGGCGTTAATTCTTCTTTGGTCTTTCCAATTCATTGTTCAACTTTAGAGACATATGAAGCAACTGAAAATATCATGGCCTAGATCAGATGCACCTTGGTCTTTAGTATCCTTTTTCTTTAGCACTTGGGAGAGGTCCTTGACAGCAGATTTCCCCAATGTAACACTGCTTTTGATTTCTTGACTTCTGCTACCATGGATATTGATTGTGGATACAAGTAAAATGAAATTGTTGACAACTTCAATCTTTTTCCATCATGATGTTGTCTATTGGTCTAGTTGGGAGGATAGTTGTTTTCTTGGTGGTGAAATGTAAACCACCCTGAAGCTGTAGTTGTTGAACTTCTTTAGTAAGTGATTCAAGTCCTCTCCACTTTCTGCAAACAAGGCTGTGTTATCAGCATAATGCAGGCTTTTGAATTTTTGTTGTTGCTATGTTCTGTCGAGTCGCCTGCGACTCATAGAGATCTTTTGTACAACAGCCCTAAAACCTGCTCTATTCTGTGTCAATTTTATTGTCTCTGACACACCTGTCTCTATTACCCCAGTCACTGAATCTCATCAAGGGTCTTCCTCTCTTGTGCTGTCCCTTCACCCTCCCAAGCATGACATCCCTCTCGAAGGACTGGTCCCTCCTTGCAACACATCCAAAGAATGTCAGATGAAGTTTCAGAATCCTTGCCTCCAAGGAGCAACCTGGTCTCACCCTCTCTAGGACAAACTTGTTTGTTCTTCTAGTAGTCCATGGTATATTCAACACTCTTCTACAGCACCACAGCTCAAAGGCATCAATTGTCCTTCTATCAAGAGATTGAGATTGTTAACAGCTTTACTTTGGTTGGCTCCACAATCAACACTCTTAGTAACAGCAGCCAGAAAATAAAAAAGACGAATTGCATTGGGAAAGTCTGCTGTCAGAGACCTCTCCAAAGTACTGAAGAGCAATGATGCTAGCCTCAAGACTAAGGTGATCTTTCTATAATTACTTGCTATGCATTGGAAACAGGACAATGACTAGGGATGATGGAAGGTTGTTGAATAGAAGGCAATAATAGAAGACATTTTCATATTAGGCCTTTAATCAGTTGTGAGAGTTGGCTCTCTGGTACAATAGCTATTACCATGAAGCTGTCTTAAATTTCTTTCAGAAGCTCTTTATTCCAGAAATGTCTAAAGGGTATCGTCAGTCTTCCTTAGAAATTATCTCTCCTGGGAAACATCGATGTAGACCTGGGCAGGAAAGAGCTCTTGGGTAGGAGACCCTAAGCCCCAGTGAGGGCAAGGTGTGTTTTCTAATACTGGAGATTCTGGCACTTTCATAGGTTGTTCTTCAGCATTGTGTTGCTGTTTGAGTGGAACAACTCACTGCTCTGACATTACCAAGTACTTTGGGTTCTCTTGTTGTGGATGTGCCATTAAGTTAGAATCA